TGATACCGATGTATGCAATATGACTGCTCACTTTCTGTTTAAGTCTCGCAAGTACTCGGCGTTGATGATTCCCATACTGCAGACATGATAGGCATGTTTCTCAATATTAGCACCATGTGTATTCTTAACTTTCCAAATGTAGCAAACTTAATATAAAAGTTACAACTACAAGTTGAATGGTAACCGAACCAAATGCATTGACAAAGAGGAGAAAAGAAAATCAGTTTGTTATTTTGTTCTGCAAGCAGCAAAAAACATAGACCAATTCCTAATAGACCAAAAAACTTAGAAAAACTATAGCCTTCAGTAAATAAAAGAAAACATGTTGGTAATAATCTATAGACTGCAGAAGATGAACAAGTCCCAAGTGATCCACGGGAACATAGTAGTCAAGCAAGAATTCAACTTGAGAGGGGATTTGGATTGCAATAGATGAGCCAGGAGGACAACAGGCAGTACAGATTGTCTACAAGATACTACTAATGGTCCGTTTGGTTTAATTTGATTGTTATTTCCTTACCATTCAATTATTACAATTATATAAGCCATGTTTTAAACAAATGAATTATTTTCATTGAATTCATTAGGAAATTCACATTTAGTTCACCTAAAAGAGAATAAAAACTCTCAGTTGAAAGTTGATGAAGATCAACTTAGAATTGAAATTGAAAGTTAAACAATAAAATTCTAAGTTCTGTCAAAATTAATTGAACTTGGTAGGTGCTATTTAACTTCATTAGTAATATACTGTACAAAAACAATTCACTTGTCCCAAATATTTGCCTTAGTAACACTTCCCTTCGTTGCTAAGTGGTAAGCATGATAGCGTATAGCAGGGATATTAAACTAAATGTCAATCTCAACTAACATAGACCATAATAGTATATTAATTATATCATATAAAAGAAAAAGTTCAAAATCAGAATTAGACTGATGATGGTAGGTAAAAATTAGTCAATGTTGTAAAAGATTATTGCAAGTATCAGAACTGAATAAAGGGAGCAGTGACTCACTAAATTAAACAAAAAAAAAATTCAAAAAACAAAAAGCCTTCCCCAAGCCAACCAAAAAGGAAAAAAAAAAAAAAAAAGATGCAGAACACTAAGTCAACTGGATTTCAATTTACCCATGTAATTTTAACGCCCAAACAAACAAGAATTAAAGCAACAAGAACAGCTTCTGAAGTGATAAAAGGAGAAAAACAGAGAAGAATTAGGAAAAAAAAAAAAAGGTATTACAGAACAGGGGAAGAACAAGAGCAAGGAACTTGCCTGAACAGTTGCCCAAACTGCAACACCCAGAGCAACCCAATTTGACAAAGAGAAAACCCATCTCTCAACAACCCACAACACCAAAATCACCGGAATCAACAAGAGCACGGAGGGTTTCTCCGCCATCAGATGTTTGAAGAACTCAACAGCATCTTCGACATTGACAAAAGTCGTCTTCTTCTTCCTACCCATTTGAACCATCACTGCGGAAGTTTCTGCAACTATAAATTCAGATCCATAGGCTCAAGAGTTTTCCAGGAAACTGAAGAGATTTTCCCAGGAAAATCATTCCTACCCACAGAACATTTCAGTCGTTCTTTTCCTTTTTACTAAAAGAGAAGCTCAATCGGCAATGAAAAACAAAGGGGGAAACCTTTTTAACTGGCTTTTAACTTCCGAGAAAATCAAAAGACTCAAAAGTCAGCAAAGAGAAGCTCAGGAAAAAATTAGGACTCTAACATCAATCAAAAGACACTTTTTAATCTGTCCAGGTAATAGCGAATTTTGTAAAAATGAGAAGTGCTTTCTGTGGGTCCCACGACTTTGTTCTGCGTCTTCGTAACCGTCGATCTGTTAACTATCTTAATCCGACGGCTGTGATTGTAATTGAAGTCTCAATTAAATTATTTAATTATCGGATAATCTTATTTACCATAACATTTTTATTTAAAAAAGCAACAGTTCAATTTTTGGTTGCGTTCTCATCTGATCTGGTTGACCAAACGGAAGCAGTTTGAAAATCAAAGTATTATGATCGGACGGCTAGGAATGGGAGGTAGGGTTGACGCCATCGGAGATCCCAATGATAATAGGACAAAAAAATTAAAAAATATGTGGGACCCACGAAACTACCCCTGCTCCTTCAAGTTTCAACTTCATTGGACCATTTCTACATTAAATGTCGTGCCGGACCATTTAACTCACAAAAGTAGTTTCTAATTTATGGTTTTTGTTTATCCATAATTATTGATTTGTTTTTCCACTTCAGAATATGTTCAAATCTCAAATCTTTAATTTAAATTACTTAATTTTGTTTATCTTGATATTCGGAAAAAAAAAAAAAGACTTTTTAAAATAATATCATTTTTAATTGAGTGTATATAAAAAAGAAATAATTTATTTTAAATTTATAGATTTTTTCGGAAATATTATTATCTTTGTTTGGTTATAATTTTTTATTTTTTTTATTTGAGAACCCGTATAAATCTAAAACTTTTAAAACTTAAATTATTAAAAATATAATAAAATGATGACAAAATAATATTTCAATTTAACATGTGTTAAAATTTTGGCTTCATTATTAGTAACTTATTAGGAACCGTTGGCGCATAAATTTACACCTAATTTATGTTTTTTTTTTTTTCAATTAGAAAAATGTTGCTTTCTTTAATTATGATTATTGATTAATATTTTTTATTAAGAATACGTAAAATATGAAATCTTTGAGCTACATTACTAAATTTTACTTGGTTCTTACATTTAGAAATTAAGAGTTTGATTATTTTTGCTTAAACTAAAAAAGAAATTATAATTCGGCACAATTTTTTATGCGTTAAAAAAAAAAGTTGATTATTATTTAAAAATAAATAATATTTAAAAGTTTTTTATTTGAATATTTATGAAAACTGTAATTTCATCACTAGTATTTGTTTTGGCAATTTTAATTGGATAATTATGTTAATAAAATAGATTTATGTATCTTATATTTGTTGGATAAATACATATTTTAAAACTATATAAAATATTATTCAATTTGTTAGAGGTTACACGTGGAGAATGGAGAAAGAGAAGAAGAGCACAAAACAGGGCCACCTTGGTTGAGATGCACGTGGTCGTCGGTCCAAATTTTTATGTATATGCTTCGCTATTTTTTACTACTACCACATTGGCTTCTTCTCTTCTTCTTTGGCCAAAAGCATTAAATACATATATATATATATACATATTTTTTTTCATTTTCTTTTTATCGTAATTCACATCTACCATATTTTATTAAGGAAAAAAATGATATGCATCACTTTCATTACGTGCTTGAATTATTATTAATGTGATTATATTTTTCTCAAAAATTAAAAAGAATATGTTAGTAATGAAGAGTAATATTGGATGATTAAGTTTAAATAAGTACTTAAAAATATTTAATCACTTCATTATTTTATTTTTTAAAATTTACATTAAATTTCAACCAAATTAATAATACATTTATTCTATATTTTTTTATAAAAAAAAAATATTTTACTCACTTTTATTTCATAATTAAGTTTAAAGTTCGAAAGCTTATTTGGCGATAGTAAATGGAAACATAATTCAAATATCCCTTCAACAATTTTATTAAGAATAATTATTATTAAAATGTTATATCTCTTAATAAAAAAAGTTTATAAATTTTAATTTGTAGTACCCTCAATTAAACAAAATTATATTATGAACCAAGTATCTTTTTTCATTTATTTTTCTCCTAATTTTCATCTTATTATAATAAAATAAATGTATTTAAAAGTTAACTTATTTATTCATAAATAAGAGTTTTATAGTGATTTCCTGAGATTAATCAATTTAATCCAATAAACTTCACTTTTTGTTTTACAATGCACTAATAAAGCTCTTCTAACTAAGCTTGGTTGGCTATATTAAGGTAGAAGAAGTAATTATTTATGGAGATATTAACTAGTGAATACCTAATTAAAAATATTTTTTACTAGATGTTGTGATTCTAGACTCAAGTCATATAACTTGAAAAAGCATCATTGAGGCATGGGAAACTTTATAATAAAACACTTATTGGAAAGTTGGGGATGGTTGATGGATATTCTTATGATATAACGTCTTGACTGCTGATAAATTCATTATGACCTATGAGAATGTAGTTGTCTATGATGAAGGAATAAACCTACGAGTAACATATATACCGATATATGAGAATTGGTTCTTATCGAATATAATACCGACGTATTACTACTTTTAGAAGTTTAACAATATATTGTAATCTAATACCTATATGTAAATAGATGTAAAATATTTATCATATTGTCTAATTCTCATTAGAGTAAGGTGCTCGTGTAATTAACTTATGAGATAAACTTTCATAATAAGGAGATAAAGGGATAAAAGAAATAAACTTGAAAGCTCAAAGCTCCAGACACTATCGATTTTGTTGCATTGACAGGCCTCGAATGAATATCATAAGGGCTAGAAGAGGTTATACTAACTAATGACGTAAAGTTTACCAATTATGACCACCATAAAAGAATTATGTTGCATGTGTTTTGCGATTATCCATTTGTTATTACAATGTGAAAATAGACAATACTACAAGATGAGCACCACAATCAAGTGTTTATTTTAAGAAATATTATAAAGACGTTTATTTTTTACCACTTCAAATAAATATTAACATATATAAGTTTCATTTTAGATTGAAGGATGAGACGATGGACTACTTAGTGAGATATTAAAACCTTTACCTCAATCCTCGTAAGTTAAACATTGATGGAAGGGTAACATCAAACTAAGCAATAATAAATGATGTTTGTTGGAATAACGATGGGGCTTGGTGCCTTATATTTAGCTTGCTTGTTTTATATGTTGAAAAAGCTTAAGGGTTATGTTATAAACAAATATTAATGCAAGGATGGGAAGATTAATGATCGAAATGCATACTATTTATATTTTAGTAAGGTTATTGATGTTGTTTGTAATGGGAATGAGGGTCCTCTAGCTGGCATTGATGTAATTCATGCTTTTTATTCGTATGAATACAATATGCTAAAATCAAAAGCATTAATAGAAAAACTAGTAAAAATATAAATAGTATAGCAAAAGGTAATGTGTTTGGAAGCATAATATAGTCCTGAGGGACCCACATGAGAATATCAAATAAAATCTTATCATTAAAGTTATTATAGTTTAATTTATATATCAATACATTAAATTGAAAAGAAAATATAAACTTTCTTTCGCTGGCTAAAATTATTTTGATTACATTGAATTATTCTTTTAATTATAATAAAAGTATATATAAAAAAAAAAGTTATTCATACAAATTGAGTTATATGTGTTTTTACCTTAAAAAAATTCCAGTAGCTATTTTCAATTTATAAGTGTGTCTATGTGAAGAAAATAATTATAATCTCACAAGATATATGAAAAAAATTCAAACTTTTGGTATTTGATTGATCTATGTTTTTCATGTCATCAATTCTCATGATTTACCAAATTAAGATTGTAATATAAAACTCTCAACTCAAGTTTGCTTCTTAAGGGACAAGAGAGCTCTATTTTATATAGTCAATCATCTTTTTGTAGATAGTAAATACGTTTATTAGATGTTTATTATTATCATCCAATCAATAGTCTAATTTCGAATTAGAATTTTTGCAACTTTTAATTGATTCATTACTTTTAAATAAAACTTACAGTTTCTTATAAATAAAAAAAAAAATTCATTAATTCAGCTGATGTAGAATGACAAATTAATTTTTATTTACCAAATATCTGTTAAAAAAAATATATTTAGTTAATATAATATTTTTAAAAATAAATCTATATGTTGATTGTTAATAATAAATCTCTACAACTATGACAATAACAGAATTAGGATTTTTGACAAGTCCAATGAAATATTATTTCATTTAATTTTGTTCTACCTAAAAAAAAAAATTATATCAATTGAAACATTATTTACAAGAGCAAATCATGTTTAGGACAAGACACTATTCTGTTTAAGTCAATAAAATATTTTCAATCATATTATAAATTTTTATGATCTAATTATATAGTTATTAAGTAAATATTCCTTAAAAAAAATTTGTTACTTGTGATTTAATATCTCCATATACATCCAATAAGATTCAGAATTCGGCATTTGTTAAATATCCATTTTCTAAATGAAGTCTGACTAAATTTACTACACAGAATAAAAAAAAGTGTTGATTTAAGGTTTTCTAGAGAGAATCTTATGCGGAGAAAAATGAGTAGATTCTTCCCCTTCAATGGGAGCGTGAACATACGCGCAGAATATGCGTGTGGCTAAATCAGTTAACAAATGTGGCAAATGCAATCTTGCTCCCGAGAAGCCCAACCTTATTTTCCCGCCAAAGCCGCCACTTCCAAACCGTAAAACCAGATCGCGGGGTACCGTTAACAGCTTCCCGCTAACCACTCACGTTTTGACACATCAGCAAGGTATTGCAATCCCCAATCCACTTGCAGTGAGAGTTTTACAATAATGCCCTTTACTTGAACATGCTTAGTTTAATTGTATAACGTGGCAGTAAATGATTGGTTACATAGTAGAACGGGCTTAAATAGATAAATTTATGATTCTTCTATATATAGACCTTCTATATATGGTTCTTATGGATTTAACTACCAAAAATTCAGGATCTGTTTAAGTTTATAAAGAAGCCATTTACGGCCTTCTGTTAAATTTTCTTGTTATCCAAACGAGAAAAAACGGAGGAAAAAGGAAAAATGAGCCCATCGCAGTTCCATGAAAGCCACCATGCAAAGAGATCGAACACCATTAATGGAGCATGCCCACCACCACTGAAGATTTGCAAAGATTCACACCTGATCAAGAAATCAGTTTCGGCTTCGTCTCTCTCTCCATCGCCGTCATCTTCATCTTCTTCGTCGTCTCCGGCGTCTTCGACTCTCGGCCCAACAAGGCCGCGCCACCCGGTCATCATCTACACTCACTCGCCCAAGATCATCCACACCCACCCCAAGGACTTCATGGCGCTGGTGCAGAAGCTCACCGGGCTGTCTCGCTCCGACGATGACAATGCCGCAGCTAAACAGAGAAAGCCGGAAAACGGAGTGACAACGGCGGAGGAGGATCAGAATAGGAACGGCGGTGGCAACAACAAGGTTGTGATTGGCGGCGGAAATGACGATAACGAGTCGTCTTCGGTGATAACGGACGAGAACTGCGGAGGGAACGTCGGAGACGGGCAAGTGAACTCGTGTTTCGTGACGCCGCCGATATTCGACCCGCCGGCGAACAGTTCTTACCTGACGAATCTTCCGGTGTTTACGCCGAATCCGGTGGACCATTTTGTGTACGCGAATCAGCCATTTTATAACTACGCAGATTCGGTGTTCTTCCCTCCCAGCATGAGGAGTTCAATTTCTTCTTCTACGTCGTCTTCTGGGTTAGATGGAATAAATGAGTTTCGCGAGTACTGAAGTTCCGATGGGAAGGTTTTGTTTTTAATAGATTTTCTTTTTACAAAAAGATAATAAGAGGTTCTACTTTCATCTTTTTTTTCGAATAGATATAAAAAATTTTAAAAGTGACAGAAGAGTTTAATTATTTATTATTTAACATTTTTATTTGTTTTAAACTCTAATTTTCTTAATCTTCTAAAAATAAAGGGCTGAAATATATGTTTTAAAAATAAATTAATAAAAATTTTAAATTATTTTTTAAAACATTAATTAATTATTTTACTTTTTTTAAATTAGTAAATGAATATTTAAAACAAATAATTTATTCTTATTTTTTTTAGGAAATTAGGAAACAAAACTTGAGATTTTATGAATGTATACAGAGTTTTTCTATTGTAATTTCGTTTCTTGTTAAATTTATGGTTCCAGTGAATGAGAAATAATTGTTGGATGTTCTCAAAAGTGCAAATGAATTGATAAAAATTATTTACACATAATAAAATAGTATTATATTAAATAAATAAATAAAAGTGAAATTCTAATCAAGGAGGAGTAGAGTTTGACTACTAATTCTTTTATTTAAACGAAATAAATCGAATTAAGTAAATATATTTTTAAATAAAATATATAGATAATTTATAGAAATAGATACACTAATCTCTTTCTAAACAAACTCTACAAGTTTCCGATATACAAATTTTAACTGAATTTAAAAATGTGTTTGAAATTATTTAAGATGGGAATGTATATAAACTTATAAATAAAATCTTCAAATAAAACTCATCAATTTTAATAATTTATATAACAATTCAGTGTTATTTAATATTAAATTTGAACTTTGAAGATTATTGGATAATTAAATATTTTTTTATTATAATTTGTAATTGTGTTATGTATGATTTGGATTTGAATATTAAGAATTTGAATTATTATCGTAAATATATTTTTTCTTTGTATATAAAAAAGAAAGTCCTGATAATTATGAATTTACATACAAGTTATTTTAAGTTATTTGATTTCTGTAATTATTTATTTAAATTTTAAAATTTTTAAATTATATAATTAGATAAGCTAAAGGTACATAAAAAAAAATAATAATAAAAAATAAAAAAATCTAAGAACCCACAGAAGTACAATTCACTAATTAACATCTAATTTTTTTCTTTTTTTTTGGGTTCAATTAAATATATTCAATTGTCTTTCAATTAAGGAATTCCCTTAATTAATTCTGGTAATTTAATTACGATAAAAGCATGCCTTATCCCCAAGATGTCATCAACAAAATTAAATCTTGAGTTACAAGTATATTAAAAGCATTATAAACAAAAAAAAAAAAAAAAATTCCTACTTTTGATTTTAATCTTAAATTTAAACAAAATGCCAAAACTATATTACCCTTACCCAAGTCCCAGTACAAAGTGGTTTTACTTATTTCAACAAAAAAATTGCAAAGCAGCAGAAACACCATTCTAAATGCTCTTCACCATTTACATCTTTACATTATGAACTTCTCAAACCAAGAAAATATGTTGATTTGTTATTTTTCTTCATTCACAATCTTACATTTGAGAAGCACAATGTTGGGAGCTCCGGTTTTCTTTCTCAGGAGACTACTATACAATCTACATGTACGAATATATACATATGTATCACTTACTCTTTTTATCTTCATTCTCTCTTTCAAGAACCACAGGAGCTGCCGGTATGCTGAACCACCACTCTCTCAGTCTCCTCATCCATCTTTCGGTACTTGCTTTCCTTAAAGGCGAGTACCTCGTGAACGCCTCCAAAAAGATCAGCAAAAATATGTATCTACCCGGTAACAAGGCCAGAATCAAGGCTGAGACCAGGAGAATAACTGCAAATTTTTCAGTTGCCTGGCATATAAACACATGATCAGACAAGACTTTTATCTAGTAATCAAAAGAAACTGTAATAATACTTTTACCCTGGCATATCAAATAGTATACGTTTATATGCCAGGCAATTGAATAAAAATCACAGACTATCCTTTTATACATATGATAAAGTGTAATAGTATCAAATGGCATGGGCCAAAAGTGTACTTTACACTAAAAAAAAACAAATGACTATCATCTGTGCAGTCTATAAATATTACCATGAGGACAGAGTTGTGTGTGCAGAACCTAGGTGAGGATCGGGTAAGAGAGCAAAACCTGAGGAAAAATGGACAGCAACAACGCCCGGAACTTGAGAAGAACAATGTTCCCATCCTGGATGAGCTGCTCAAGTTGAGAAATTGCATTCTGGACCTCCAAGAGCTGCTCCATTGTATTCATGGGTCGAGGTGCTATTACCTTAAGTCCATCCATAGGTCTTCCTTGGTTACAAAATCTTGTGATTATCATGAAGACCGCAAAAAAAGTAATCATCACTGCAAAAGTGTAGCCTAGCCATCCCCTACAAAATGCAAAACCTCTGAGATTTTTAAGGAAATATCCACGGCAATGACATGTAGGAGAAAGTATGTGGAGATAATCAAACAATGATCAAGCAACTCTAATAACAAGTTTTATGCAATTGAGACTGACTAAAATGCCCTCTGTAATCTAAATCCGGAGGATCATTTTTCCAAGAGTAAAATAAAAAAGAATAACATTTGAAAAGCTTCTGAAGAGCTTTTTAAGCTGATTTCTGGAGTTGATCCAGCCTTCAGTATAAAAAAGCTTATAAATGCCAGATTCATAAACTAGAACAATTAGGGTTCTTCAGGAAATATTATTTAAGTAAAATTCCGATGATTCTCCAATAAGATTCCACGTCACTATTTCTTTTGCAATCAGTTTATTTGGAGGTTTCTCTGCATTGCAGCATTCAAGAATAGCTTTTACCAAGTATCTCTAATACTATGCACTGCTATCCACTACTTCTTCAGCATAATAATGGAGTAATACTTCAACAACCTTTCAGTCTATTTTTCTATAATGCTGATCATATAAAGAGTATAGCAGAGGAATCAAACACCTAAAGCAAGATTTTCTTGACATCTGCCTCATATAATCCTCCATTTTATGTTCAGCACTCCAAGCATGTATTGTTTACTTAATATTGACACCACTAAATGGAAGAGCTTTGATTTCGGTAGAGTTACTATGGTCACTAAAAAATTTTGTTTTTTATCTCCAAAAAAAAAAAAAACTAAACTAAATAACTAAACACATTATTCAAGATGTTTGCCAAGTGAGCAAAAATATGTTTCTTGAGTTCATGTTACCTGCAAATTATAAATGTAGAAACCAAACAAAACACCATAGACTTCAGAGGATTGTCCCAATATGCCAAGGAAAGAAGCCACTTCCCAATTTCCGTAACAGGAAGCACTAACTCCTGCAAGTACATTAAAATGAGGAAATATTGAGACTAAAGTTGAGGTACAATAAAATGGCAGGATGGAATGGTTGAAGATACCATTCAATCTCATAAAGCTAGCAAAACCATGTTAATAATAAAAACATTAAAATTGAAAATATCAGCAGACATGCATGTCGTGAATGTTTCTAGAGAGGGAGAGAGATAGATAGATAGACAGATATATATATATATATAGAGAGAGAGAGAGAGAGTTATTGCTCCCAACTACTCAAGTCCAGTGATAAAGCCATCAGATTCCATAACCCCACCTTGCCCTCCTTACCCCACACTTTAGCCTAAACAGTTGAACAAGAAAGTAGAGACAATTGAAAACGAAAAAAGTACGAATTTGCAGTACCTTCATCACTGCCAGGTTGGTGTCAATGCCATCCACTTTGACACCATCAATTGTTTCTTTTGCATGCACCACTTTTTTGTAATTGTTTCTAGACTCCTTAACTGCTCTTTCCAATGAACTCATCTCACCAACAGCTATCTCACCAACAACAAGCACAGCCTCCGTGGAATTATTTGAACTTGTTCCAAACACAAACCCCAAGTTAGAAACCATGGCCAAAGCAGATAATGAGTGCATTCCCCCTCCAGCAGTGTAGTTATTCTTGCGGTCTACTTCCCTTAAGCTTGACATGTTTGCAAGAGTCTCCAGTATCAAATCTCCACCAGGAAGTTGATCGCATAGATTAAACATGAGAATAGCTTCACAATGGACTGAATTCGCAGCACTAATTTCTTGAATAGCTTGAACTCGAAGAATTCCAAGTACAGCCTTTGAAAGTGCTTCATCACGTTCCACTCCCGTGATGTGGAACTTGTTTATAAATCTATGAACATATAAGATTTCCTGTATAATAGCTAGCCAGTAATCACGTCGAGTATGTCCTTTAAGCTCAGGAAACTCGATAACCACTGGCTCTGACCTACAAGAGATGCAGACATAATCTTAATTCACCAAGATGTTAAAAATTGTAGTTTATCAACTATAAAGCAAATTGATAACATCATGCCCTACAAGTTAATTGATTTATAGGAGACTGCTTTGTCAAAAAGTCGGGTGCCCCATGGTCCAGTCAACTCGGGGCGAACAACTTGTTTTAGATCTTCTGATAAATCATATCTCTTTGCTTTATCATATGATACAACGCGGAGCGGTTCAAAGTATAATGCATGATCAGTCAGAATTAACCGACCTGCAGAAATGTCAAAATAAGATAAAAAAAGGTGAAGTTAACTCCATATGCAATTGAGATATTCCTAAGTAAAGAAGGACCATAGGGACACTTTTTTTATATGAAAAAAGGAAATTTAGTGGGAC